TCCTCTTCAGCGTTATAGGATTTACTTCCATATTTCTGAGAAGCTGCTGATGACACAAAATAACCTGGAACGTGATCAGAACTGTAAAGGGAAAAAGTCAGTCACACAAAGGAGGAAATACTTGTCTTGATTGCTGAAATTCACATTGAAATTTAAGAAGTCAGTTGGAAAGGTTATTAGCCGCTTCTTCCCTTTTGGTTGAGAACTATTAATAACGAATGCGTGTTCAGGCCTCGCAGACTGTAATAACATTACCAATAAATATGTTTATTTTCCCTTTGTAGCATCTGATTTGCTCTGGCTTTTAATTATATTTTGTAGTTAAAACTGGTTTTGGCTCTTTTATAAGCTTGAAATTATCGATCGCGTTGTTTAGTTGAAAGAATACCAGTCGCTGGAAATATTAAATTGAAAACTGTGACAGTCTCTAAACTCCTAGAAACACCAATGTTGCATAAAACAGTTCAAAGCTGCACGGGAGCGAAGTTCCTTTACAGCTGCTTTGGTCGCGGTCAAAATATGTACTGTCAGCACTAACACACCTAAAACGTATGAGTAACATTAAAAAAATAGGTTTTGATTCTGGTTTCTAGCGATTAGCTGACCCTAAGAAATGAATGCTTGATATCATTTATAGCGTCGGTTGGTTGTAATATATCCAGTGTTATTCCAAAGCGTGACTCAGTCAAATATCCGTGAACAGCGCAATGGGATTTTAACAGTGGAAACCTGGGTAGAGAATTCAAATGAATACCAGACTTCAATTCTAGTCAACTGAAAAATCTAAGATTTAGATGCACTCAGAAACAAAAAGATGCTTAATGAAGCAAAGATTTACAAAGCTGGGAAAGATTTCAAAGGATTTTGAAGGAAGAGCGACCCTCCTGTTATTTCAGTTGGAGGTCATTTAAAGATCACAGTGTTCGGTGTCTACATGATAAACATGTAACGCAGACTGTTTACAGAACAGCACTTTCTTAAGCGAAACAGTTAGACGAAGTAATTTATTGGGCCACGTTCAATTATACATGCCAGTATTTAAAGCCACTTCAGCCTCCTTTAGTGTTAGGGTATCATGTAGCAGTCTCATAACTTCTACTGCGTTGAGTCTTACTTGAGTGCTGAAACGATAATCACTTTTGCTACGAGTAAGGCCTCAGCACATGTCAATGTTGACGTCACTCACGATACTGATAATCTTAAGACACAACACTTGAAAAAGGTTTGACAGACGATTGCACCTGAAATCAGACCTCTTAAAGAAACGACTCATGCCAATTCGTAACAAAACTGCTCATATAGCAGGCATCGTTGAATGGTCAGTGTGTTATCCTGCGTTTTATCATTCTAAAGCCCCCTGCTTTAGCATGATGAATTGATGACGAGAGTAATATGCAAATAAATTCTTTTCAGCAGAATCTTTCCGTTGTCAATGTTCCACTGCTCGGGTATAAGTGGCCGTTATCGCCAAAAGTACATGCAATGTTAACAGTTTAGAATAAACAAGATCGGCGTAATCATCATTTGTAAGACAGGAGATAAATTTGAAAACATGTAGTGTCAAAAACGTGAAAAAGCTGTACCACGCTTCCTTAGTAAGTCACGGTTTCTTCACTTGATTAAACGATTTTACTACAATCGGCTTATTGGAACGAAACACACACCTAACGCTCAGTTCTAAACGCATACATGTTTGTTTAGTTATGTATCGATAAATGAAATCACCTATAAATGTCCAATCAAATTAAGAATAATTAACGTATCGTACAGTTTCCAACGTAAGTTAAAATTCAAATGGCACCTGGTCACAACTCGTCCGAAGTGGAATGAAATACGGTTGAATCCCGATTACTCGAACCCTTGCTAACTTGAACCTCGCGCTAACTCCGACGAACCAACTGGAAATCGATTTCCCCTGGATTTCCGTCATAGATTTACTCTCTATAAAGTTTTAAACCTCGATAACTCGGTTGGACTAGTTCGATAAATATTGTGCAACTATTTTGCATATAATGAGAAATGAAAAAGCTTTAATTTATTCAGTAGTCAGGGGAAAAAAATATAATTTCATGATTATACCTAAACAATCATGATGAAAGAAGGAGAACTGTAATGCATGTCAAACCCGAGAGTGAAAGAAATGAGGATACCCAAATCCATAGTGATATGGATAACTTGTCCGGTGGGGCTGAAGCATCACAAGAATCCCTAAATTAATGTTTGTAAAACCCATTACAAA